ATCTTCATTCAGGTCAGTACCGCCTAATCTGTAATTTTGCGCGAGAGGAGAGAGCGGGAAAGGGAGAGGCACATCAAATTCCCTTTGGGCCCACTTCTTTACTTTGGGGTTGTGCTCTTGTCGCACCAAATTATGGCTGTACGCAATAACAACTAAGCCATATACAAAGCATTAGTGGCCTACTTGCTTGCTTGATATCCAAAATTAAAGAATACAGAGGAATGATACCTCAAAACCCATTAAAAACAGCATAGGAAATGATTTATTTTTTGAAGAGTGGCAAAATAAAACGTGCAAATTTGACAAAGCATGTTTCACCAAAAAAACAAATTTACATAAATTATTTGCCTGGAATGACAATGCATGTGACCGTCGTTAATTATCTGCTAAAAACTATCGAAATCTATTTCATTACTACTCACTGGGACCTATTTAATAAACAATTCTGAGTGTAGCGGACTCCAAAATGAGCGCATCAATCAGCAGCTCGTCCAAAGATTTTCAATTTTTTTTATTTTGTAAAACCCGAAAAGTTGCGCCATAGAGGGATTTTTGATGTACAGAAAAAGTAATTTACAACACGATTAATTCATCTAAAAATAAAAAAAAAAAATGAAAAAATATCACATTGAGGTTTACTGATCACGCACAGGCGTAAAATAATCGTTAAAACCACACATACAAATGCATAAATACGCACCTACAGGCACACATACATACACAATTAAAAATACAAACGTAGATGTACATACACACACGGTCTCAAATATTCGTTTACATAAAAGGTCGTTGGTTGTAAATTATTTTACAGGATTATTGCATTAGAATCTCTGGAGATTCCAAACCAAAAAAAGCCGTAACAAATATCGAAAAACTAGTGACAACGGTGAGAAAATGCGACTGGAAATGTCAACTTTTCCCTACAAAATGTGTTATAATTAAGTCGCCTTCTAGAACCAGAAATATCCTAAATCAGTATGTATCGAATAACACATATCAGCAAAGGCAGTAAATACCAGCTCGATGTATGCAACTCAGGATCGAAGGATCTGGCATAGATGCACCGGGACGTGGGAAAACCCAATGGCATAAACAACACCGGATATAATGATCTTGGTATATTGGCAAAAAATGATACACTTCTTGCTACTTTACTGCACACATTGCCATACAAACCGCAACAATATCAAGGCATCAGGACCCGTTTTCGTCCTGCTCACTTAATTTTACATGTTAGTAAAGCTACACCTGGGCAAACCAGTGAAAAACAAAAAATGGTGGCGGCTAAACGGCCGCAAAATTCACCACCAACTGCAAATGCACATTAGTGGCTTGAATAACGAGGGAAGTAAATCACTGCTCCATCATTAGCTCTGGCAGATTTTTGAACAGAGCACTTTCAGTAAATTTGAACAAAACAAAATGAAAATTATTCCGTCTATATTAGTTAAACAAAGACACGCCCAAAACCTCTCGACAGCCAGACATTTTTTTTCGTTTTTCCGGAAACATGGCTAGAAATGAAAAAAACTGGAAATTTCCCAAAAAAAGCTAAATTTTGCAATGCCTATAAAAAAGGACAAGTTTCTTAAAGTTAGTTCTAGTGGATACGCCATTAATTCATAGATCAAACAAAAGTGTTGCCCAATACGACTTCTATGCAGTCGGTTATTCGTTCAATAAATCGTTCTGGTCATATCAAGAATCATAAAACGGTCCTAGTGGGACATTTCTGTGCGCAGTTTTTGGAAGAAGAACCGGTTAAAGACGCTGAAATGCTGTTCCTAAGAAGCGGGAGCTTACTGCACCTTTTTACTCCAGTACTAAGTGAATGTGCAATTCGCGAGTTAGTAAGCTGAAAATGCTTGCAATGAAAAATCTGGAAAATCCCCAATCATTCATGAAAAAATAAAACATAAAGCTTCAGGACAACAGAACCTGACAAAAAAGGAGAGAAATACACTACGTGTTTACATTATGCATTAATATACATACACACTGGGGCAGCAGCAGTCATTCGACACCATATGTGAGCGACTTTTCGAGCGTGAACTGGAATTCGTTAAGTGAACTGATTAGCTTTGATAAATAGTTCAGATAATGCGGGGTGCGCAGGAACGATGGTTGGTCGTACATCTGCGATGTAATCGGAGTCCACGCCATCAACGGCAGCAATCCCGATAAGATGTGATCCCTGAGGAATGAAAATGAATTAGTGGCGAAGGCGACTGCGGCACATAAACGATCTTAAACAGGACAGCTGCACCAAAACCTACTGCAGAAAGTGCAAAAATTTTTCACCACCCTTAAAAGTAAATATAGCTCCACAGGGAAATAAACAGTAACGCGCACCAGACTAGCCGATGCGATCATGCGTTTTGTGCTACTTAGCCCACCAAATAATTGCCTTTCAATAATTTTCACTGCTTTGTACCTTTGTCTATGCAAAAATAGGTCAAACATTGGAAAATAGTTAAAAATTTCACGCATCAGCGCATGAAAGCTGAATTCGAATCCTTGAAGGATGAATATCTTTCCGTGATGCCCGAGTTAATAGTTTAACCGCCATAATTCTCAAGAGGCCGTAAGTGATACTCAACAGCGACAGAACGCTGAATTTGAATAGGCAAGGTTGAGCGTGGGCAGGGGGTTATTACCCTAAAATTTCAGCCTCCTAGCCTCCGTGGTTCCAGAGATATTAATTTACCCGCAAAAAACCTTCACGGGGCCGTAAGTGCTACCCGCGGGTATGAGAAGGCTGAATTTAATATTTGCCGTGTCACCCGTTGACAGGGAACACTATACCAAAATTTCAGCCGCCTAGTTTTTGTGGTTCCCGAGTTGAAAGTGCGGGACAAAATGTGGGGCACACACACAAACACACACAGACAACCCTGTGACAATATGCGTTTTGTGACGCTGTCACACAGCACAAAACGCATAAAAACGGCGTTTTGAAAGGCCCATATCCACAGCTGATATTCTTTTTAGGAGACGAAACGAACGTCAGGATCACCAGCAAGCTGACCATTGCACGATGCAACACTGATCAAAATAATAAGAGAAGTCATTCGCTGCAGAGCTGGAGAACCAGGCAACGAATTAACAACTGTTCCACATATTATAAGTGAATATTCACCAAGGAAGCAAAAATGGAGATAAAATTCGCCTGGCTAAACGTGAACGTATATTTTACACTTTTTGCCTTTCGTTTTCAACACACCAAGAATAAAGGACTTTCCTAACAATCGGTGTGAGGATTCCACATTAGTGGTGCTAACTGTGATGCTTGCACACGCCATCAGTAGCTACAGCTGGTTCTTCGATCTTGAGTAGCATCGCACACGCAGCACCTGCCAATTGCTCACTTACTGATAAGCGAAATTCATCGGTTCTCAGCAAAACAAGGCGCATGCCTTGGCCAACGGAATCTGGTTCCCCGAATGGACGCAATGGCTGGTGCACACCGCTCACCTGACAAAGAGTCTGCCCACTTATCACATGGTCATGAACAGTCACGCCGAGTGCCATTTGCATCATTATTCTCTCCTCTACGGCCAGTGCTTGCTTTTCTGTTTTCGTCAGCGGCCATTTGTGCATCCAACAAATTTGTGAGAAAGCATTAAGAGCATTTCTGTGCCTACCTTGTAGTGATGAGGATGAACAACTGAAATTTGCCGTCTTTGCCAAGGAAGGTATTTGCGGATATGCGACGAGCAAGGTTACATGCCTGCATAATGAGCAAGCGCTGCTCACGTGTCAGTCGTTTCGAATCTTCCATATGCATCAGATCCCAAAACCACTTGCAGACCTTCTCTGGAAATTACATCAACCGATAACATGCATTTCCATCCTCTATTTCGACAAGCGCATTTTTAGTCCCGCTTCTTCGCACGTTTCAGTCCTAACTGCCTTTCGCTCTCTCATTCTCCTCTGCATTTTTCCAATGCTAAATTCAATCGGCACTTGCTTCAGCAGCACCAAGAAAAAACAAACTTCTGCAGAAATGAGAAATATGTGTCATGGTATCTATTCGAGCAGTGAATGCGCCATTAAGAGGAACAAGTGGTTTCAACCCGTCCACATTAAAAAAAGAAAGACAGCCACGGGTTTCAGGTTCATACAACAGAAAGTACAATGGAATTCCCGTATGCAATTTACTGCATTTTAATGTTATAACACCAGCTCGGACTGCACTTCAGGATGCCATCGAACAAGGAAGTCGAGGAACAGCGGAGTTAAACTTTCAACCTTCAGCAAAACGGTAGTATCACCTGCAGCTACGCCGTG